TAAATAAAAAAATAAAATTTCCTTTATTCCAAGAGAGAGTGAGTTGTCTCTCACTATTAACTGATTTCTACAGTGCTGTTTACATATCACAATTCCATATATGTATGCATCTGTTTCTGGTCTTTCTGTTCCACTGGTCAGTTTGTCTATTTCTCCATCAAGTTCTGCACTATCTTAATTAAGATAGCCTTATATAAGGCTTGATACCTGGTAGGACAGTGCTTCCATCTTACTTTTCCTTTTCAGGAGTGTTTTGGCTATACTTGGCCTTTTAGTCTTCCATATGAAATTTGGATCTGTCTGTCAAAGTTCATACACAATCTTGGGAATTTGGAAATTGCATTGGATTTATCCATGTATTTAGAGAAAATTGACGTGTTTATAATGTCCACTTTTCCTACCTGTGAATATGGGATATTCTTGCACTTTTAATGTCTTTTTTAATATTCTGCATACCAATTGTGGTAGATTTTTATTTATTATTATTATTTTTTAAGATTTTATTTATTAGAGAGAGAATGAGAGAGAGCGAGCGCATGAGAGGGGGGAGGGTCAGAGGGAGAAGCAGCCTCCCTGCTGAGCAGGGAGCCCGATGCGAGACGCGATCCAGGGACTCCAGGATCATGACCTGAGCCGAAGGCAGTCGCTTAACCAACTGAGCCACCCAGGCGCCCTGTGGTAGATTTTTAAAGATACCTGCAAGTATTTCTTCCTAGTTGGTATTCTGCATTATGACCGTAGAGTATGAGTCCCTTCCTGTTGAATCTGGGCTGAGGCAGAAATGATGCTGCCTGATTTCTGAGGCCAAGTTGGGTCAGATAGCTTCCACTGGTTCTCTGAGGGTGCTTGCTCTAGGGGAGCTTTGCCATCATGTGAAATGTCCAACTATCCTGAGACCCTTTTGTGGGAGATAGCTACAGCCACAACTGAGCTTTCAGGAACTTGCAGCCTTAGGTGCCAGCCACATGAGTGGGCTATGTCAGAACATTTAGTGCAGTTGAGCTCTCAGATGACTATAGCCTCAATGGGTACCTGACTCAGCCACACGGGAGACCCCAAGTGAGAATTGCCCAACTGAGGATGTCCTAACTTTATGGACTACAAAATCATTAGCAAAATCAAATGGTGGTTTTAGGCCCTTAAGTTGTGGAGGAATTTGTTATGCAACAATAAATGACTGGAACACAGTGAATACAATTATTTTATTCATCTGTTTCATGTATGTGGTGTTAAGTACTTTATAGTTTTACAGGGTATGTGTGTTTGGGGAAGGTGTTAAATGTTGTCTTTCTTTTATTCTTTCTATTTGATGGTGTGTATAGAAATACAATTAATTTTCATATGTAGATCTATGGCTGATTATCTTTAAATTATCATTATTTTGAATAATTGGTCTAAATCCCTTTGGACTTTTTATTTATATATATTTTCTTAATAATATTTTTATTCTCTTATAAGATCACACATTTTTCCTGATTTCTTTCTAGTTTTGATTCTTATGTGTGCTTTTTTTTTTTTCTTTTCCCCAAGCTGGCTTCTAGTTATTGGAAGAAACAGTTGGTTATAAACAAGCTTGTTCAGGGGCGCCTGGGTGGCTCAGTTGGTTAAGCGACTGCCTTCGGCTCGGGTCATGATCCTGGAGTCCCGGGATCGAGTCCCGCTCGGGCT